ACACACACACACACACACACACACACACACACACACACACACACACATTAAAAGGAAACAAGATGCACTTGTGGAACTCTAGAAATATTATATGCCAAAACCTTTGTACCTACTGTGCCTACTGGGGAACTCTGCTCTATTCCTTGTATGAGGTTGAACTCCACAATTAAACCGTCAGCGATCCTGCTCTCCTCCTTCTCTTCCTCTGCCTCCTCTGTGGTGCCCTCTTCTTCTTATGAAACATGGTCTTATTATTTAGCCCTGGGTGGCCTGGAACCCACTTTGTCAATCTCACCTTGCTCTCTCAGAGATCTACCTTCCTCTATCTCTGAGGCTCTGCCATTAAAGGCATAGGCCATCGTACTCAGCCTTCATTCTTGCCCCACCCCATCTCTGTCTCCTTTTCAATTTGTGTGTGTGTGTGTCTGTGTGCCATGTGCATAAGTGCGTGCACATATGCATGCCACAGTGCATGCATGAAAGCCAGAGTACAACTTGCAGGAGTCACTTGCTTTCCACCATATAATTCAGGTATCATGTTTCTCGGGCTTGCCAGCAAATGTCTTCACCAGTTGAGCCATCCCATTGGCCCACGGTTAATTTTTGAAAAAAAATGCATTAGGAGAAAAAGCCAGAGGGCACAGAAGAATGGGATAGAAAACATATACAAGGCCAGAGTTGATGGCATATGCCTGCAATCCCAGCATTTGGGAGGTGCTGGGCAGACAGGAGGATCAGGTGTTTAAGGCAGTCTCAGCTGCATAGTGAGTTTGAGGCTACGTGAGACCCTGTCTTAAGAAACAAAAATGAAAAACAAACAAAAAGGAAGCACAATGTAAATGTAAAGCTGATTTATTAACAATTTCCTAAACAAAACTAACCAGAACAGAGACTTCCCTGTACAAAACACCATGAGAGTGTTCTCTCAGCAAGGCTAATAATATCAGGCTCTGGTATTTCAAATTTAGACTGTAGCCTTTGTCTTCAGATGGATTGTGGGATACCCATGCATTTATCTGGACTTGAATAGAATCATAGCCACATGACCCACATAGAAGTAGATCAAGTCTTTGGTTTCATATGTCACAAAATGACTGCATCCCTTGCAGGTGGGGTTTTACTTATCCCTAGATGTTTCACATGGGGTGCTGTATCCTTTGCTTTTGGTGTTTCTCCAATGCCTGGCTAACATATTCCACCAAATCCTGTCACATTTCTTCCAAAATATCGGCACTAAAACCTTTTTTAGATGATTTAATTTTATGTGTGTAAGTGTTTTGCCTACATGAATGTTTGTGCACCACCTGCATGCCTGATGCCTGTGGAGGTCAGGACATTGGATTCCTTGGGACTGAAATTAGATGGTTGTGAGCTGCCATGTGGATGCTGGGAACCAAACTCAGGTCCTCTGAAAGAGCAGACAGTGCTCTTGACCATTGAGCTGTCTCTCCATCCCCCACCATGTGTCTGCATTTTTTATCACTGCTTTCTAGTCCTTCATGGTCACCATGAAGTAGGACTGGCAAGCTGCAACACTCAGGGAGATACTGGCAAGGCTATGGCCACATTCAGAATCTTTGTCTATAAGGTTGTGACACCTGTGTCACAGGATCAGAATAACTACTGAGTTCTTGCTTGACAAACACTTGTGCACAATACAGGACAGTAATAAATATTATCTGTATGTGAAGACCAGCTTATCATACAAAGCAATGTATGTTGAGAGCCAAGGAAGAAAATTATTAAATGGAATGACTGTGCTATTGGCATAAATCTGGACATAATAGTCACTCTAAATGTCTTCCTTTCCAGAACTTTTCCCTTGCAAGACACCTGTGGTATGTGTCTTGGGGTCCAGCTATGATTCCTGGTTCTCTGCTTCCTCTGTATCAGGGTGCCCAGACACTCCTGCACACTGGGCTGGAAGGATGAAGCAGAGTCCAGAATGGGTGGGCTCTACAGGATCCTGGTCCAGCTGGAAGTGAGTGCCAGGGGGTGTGGGGGAGGACTTTCTCTGTGGATCTTAATGCCACAGTTCTTTTAGACAAAGGCATTCTCTAACCATCTTCAGTGAAACAACTCTCTGAGACAATCTTAGCTTGTGCACATACCTATTTTGGGTGGATGGGGGGCTTGTACTAATACACTTTATTCAGGGTTGAAAGGAGCTATATATGAACTTTGGAGAGCAGGAAGGGGGTCTTCTTAGGGTGAAGTTTCCACTGGCTAGAGTTTAAAGTTCTAGAAATGCCTCATTTGCATTGTTAGGCAGTCCACAAATTCCAGGTACTCACTGGAAGGATTTTTAATTGGGAAAAGAGGAAGTTGAAGTTTTAGGTCTACCAAAGATGACTTGACCTTCCCTAGGTAGAGAGTGTGGGAGGTCAGATTCCCCAGACAACGTCAGAGAAGGAGAAGCCTGGCTGGTAAAGGAGTCCTCCATTTCCTGCCAAGCCCAGAGGAACTATTCGGTCATGGTAGACTTCAACCTTAATTAGCAGGGTTTGCCCATAGATACCCTCACTGGAAGTTAGTGCTCTAGTGAAAGGAAATTTTTTTTATAACTGTCTAGATGAGTAAGTAGTAGGATAGGCGCTGTAGAAAGTGTGTGCAGAAGGAGCTAACAGATGAATGCACGGGTCCAAAACAGCTTTATGGTCTCATACTAGTACCTCAACTGTCTTGGCACTTGGTTCCCCTTCTTCACATTGAGACTATGTTGTTTCTGTTGTAACTAAGCTATAAATACAATACAGATGACAGACTGTGATATCTTTTAGCTTATGTACAGGGTGACCAAAATGTTGCAACCAATTGCATCTTTGTTAGTTCCTGTTATTTTTGGTACCCTTCTCATACTCAGTGTCTCTGTTTGGTTGGTAAATTGTTGGTAGTCATCCTTCATACAGCATCTTTCCTCTTCATTTTGCTTATTACATAATCTTTTGTGTGTCTCATACCAGAGATTGCCCATTTCAGGCAAGCCCTCTACCACTCAGTTATATCCCAGACCATCCATTATTTTTGTTTGTGTTTTTGCTTTGAAGATTGGTCTAACTTAAATTGCCCAGTCTGGCCATGAACCCACTCTGTAGCAGGTCTTAAGCTTGTGATCCTCCTGTATCAGCCTCTGAGAGGTTGTGATTATAGGACTATACCATCAGATCCAGCTAAGACGTTCTCATATTATGCTCAGCATGTCTCAGGACTCTGAGTGGTAATAATGACACTGTGCTTACTGGCATTTATCATCTTTTTACATTTGTTCTATATAATGTATGTTTATTTCTGTTTGTAGAAAACCTAAATAAAAGGTGATAGGCTTGAGTTGATGAGATCCAGGCCAGGAAAAACCACTAAACACATCTGTAAACTACCATAGAGTATTGTGGGCTCTCAGACCCTGTTGTGGAGTCTCAGAATTCCTCTGCTTACATTAGACTAAGGCATGCTTTAAGATTTTCATGACCTTTGAAAGAAAATCTTTCCTAGATTTGTGATTCTATACTTTTTGTTTGCATTTATTTATTTATTTATTTATTTATTTATTTACTTATAGACAGGGTTTCTCTGTGTAGCTCTGGCTGTCCTGAAACTCACTCTGTAGACCAGGCTGATCCTGAATTGTTTTTAGAGACATGGTGTCTCTTATAGCACAAGCTGTCCCAAAATTCACTATGAGGACTGGCTTTTGCCCTATGATGCTCCTGCCTCAGCCTCCTGAGTACTGCCAGGATTACAGCCCTGTATCTACATCATGTCTGGCTCTCTGTTGAATTTCAAAGCCAGATTACTAGTAAATCTGTGTTTATACCTAGGGTTAGGGTCAGCATGTGGTTGATCCCAGGATAGGTTAAACCACAGAATTAGAAAATCTTCTCCTAACTTCCGGTCTGGGCCCGAACATAGAGCAGGCCACAGGCGGCAGCTCAGCACCCAACCCCAGAAAACTGAGAGAAAGAGGGACTCTCAGGAGCTTTAACTCAGGCAGCATCCCAGGTAAAAATGAATCACCCGTGATGTCTGCTGTTAGAAGTTGTAATCCAGATGCTGGCCTCTGAACTTATACTACTCAGACCTTTGAAGGGCCACTGACATGAACGTCAAACAGCTAGAGATTGACATCACTAATCTGAAGAAATCCCTTGTTTCGCTGCCTGAAGAGACCTCCTAAAATCGCAAAGATCCTTATTGGACTTGATTTACTCTATTACAATAGAAAAGGCTGTGTACAGCTCTTGACTGTGTACAGCTCTTAAAGAAGAATGTTGCCTTTACATAGACAAGACAGGGAGGGTTAAAGAGAGCATGAAACAGGTAGTGAAGGCCATAAGAAAAATCAGAGAGAGAAAGAGACAGATGAATGCTGGTACAAGAATTGGTTTTCAGCCTCTCCAAGGTTGTCAACCCTATTTCCTCCCATCTTGGGACCATTATTTGGGTTCTTTTTGCTTTTTTCTGCTGGTCCCTGGCTCTCAAATAGGCGGACTAACTCTGTGATACAACAGATAAATAATTTGGTTGCAAAACCTACTCAGATACATTATCATAAGTTAGCTATGGAGGACCACGAGACTCAAGATGAGGTTGTTGCTTTATACAGGGTGTTTCCAAAACCCATCTCCACCCAACCTAAAAAGAGGGAACTTCTGCCCTTAGACCAAGCAGAGAGGGGCCACCCAGAACCCCCTCTGACAGGCGATCTGAATTCTTGCTTAGGCTGTGAGGCTAAGCACTGCAAGGGAATATAAATAAAAGATAAAA